AAATTTCAATAATCCGGATCATTTGATGAGTGAACTCAATTCCTTTGGGTCTGGAAGGAATCCGGTTCCATATTTGGTCACCATGCATGTTCTAAAAAAATATAGATTAGTACAGCCAGGCCATCAACACCTACATTTTCCCACGTCACCGAAAAGATATTTATCCTTTTGGCATATAATAAACGTCACATTGTGGCTTAGATGACGCACTAGCTTTTCCTTAACAAGTCTTGGAGCTTTTGCTTTGGCTCTTTTAAGATGGATTTCCAGGCGGTGGGAACCCTTCTTCTTCTTCTTAACAATATCTCTCCACAGCCACCATATCGACAGATTCCGACCGCTTAATTGTCAAGTATGGGTTATTTTATTTTTTTATTTCTTTCTTCAATATATTAATGTAATTCCTTGCTGCCCCTCTATAATCTAGAGGATTTTTGTAGTTTTCATCTAACGACTGCGGGTTACGATTGCTCACATTTCTTTAAACGACTTCTTCTCATTTGGTCTTCTGACTACTCGAAGCGGAATAGTTTCAGAACTTGCATCACTGAAGAAATGTTGATCGACATCCTTGTAAGACTACCTGTTAAATCCCTCCTTCGTTTTATGTGTGTGTCCAACTCATGGAGTGATTTGATTGGCAGCGAAAGTTTTGTTAAGACACAAGTTAAAAGGAATGTCACAGATCCTGCCCTATCTATATAATTTCCCACCACAACTCAAGAGTTAATAACGTCCAGGATTTTGTAACTCCATTTTTTTCTTATGAAACGTCTGAGAAGTGCTTGGACTTGAGAAATCCCATAGGGACCCAGCATGTTAGGGTTTATTGTTCAAGTAATGGTTTAATTTTTTTATCTGATTTAGATCTTGATCGATTCCGAATTGATCTGAGCAGTAGTCTTATATGCATATGGAGCCCATCCCTTAGGAAATTTAGGACTCTTCCAAGCACCAATGCTCCCACCCTACGTAGAATAAGACGTCATATCGGATATCACATCGATCTGTCATTTGGGTTCCACCCGGTGCTTAATGACTACAAGGTGGTAAGGATTGTACGTGAATATAGCTGGAATGCTTTCCTTGTACAAGTCCATGTTTATACTCTGAGTATTGACTCTTGGAAGATGATTGACGGAATTCCCCCGTGGTTACTTTCTGAGTGGGGATATCATGACTCTGCAATTTTAAATGGCGTAACGTATTGGCTTATTGAGAAAGATCAAATGTTTAGGGTTGTGTCATTCAATACGGGCAGCGAAGAATTTGAAGAATTGATGGTGCCAGGGACTCTTTCCACCTTTGGACACTGTCTAAATGTGGAAGTGTACAAGGAATCAATTTGCCTGCTTAAAGAACATTGGCAAATCCAGATATTGAGTTGTGGGTTTTGCAGGAAAGTTCGTTTCAAAAGTTGGCTACTTTTGTTATTCCTGGAACGACATTTATTCGTCCACTGAGGTTTTGTATGGATAATGAACTCCTTGTACTAGACGGTAACGATGACGGCACAGTCGATCTGGTTATGTACAATCCTGAATCCAAGCAGGTTAAGAACAGAAGAATCAGGCTGGCAGGAGACATCAATTTAAGGATGGCTGGCACAAAATTCTATGTCAATACTTGTATTGAAAGCTTAGTTTTACTCGATGATTAGGTTAAATTGTAGCAATTAATGATCTCTGGACTGTATCATGAGTTACGTTATAGTTCATGAACTCGCATATTAGGATCTACAGTCCTCTACTTTATGCTCGGGTTTGCATTATTGGTCGATCCTTTCAACTAACTTAGTGCTTGTGTATTTCTGTTAATTTTCTTTTATGGATGGCTTCCTTCTGCTGTGTACCCTTATATTGCTTCTAGGAAATACAATTTATCTTTTGTTACAAATTTTATTCCATTCCGTTATTAGAGCACTACCACGTTACTAAATAAAGTTGTCAATATTGCATTTTATTTGAAAAATTACTGCAGTTTTTGTAGAGACATGAGTTTTTCTTTAATAATGGCAGCAGTAACTCAAGTTGTGATAGAAAGTGATGATGGCTCCGGTTCATGATTTTTACGTACAGAGCTCGATTGGCCTACGTTCCTTCCTTGACTGATACGCATATGTGTTCAATTCCTAATGTTCATTATATTATTTAAATCCCAGGCTTGAAGAGCAGTTCCAATTTAGGGTTGAGATTTGGACAAACCAAACACGAGTACAAAATTTAAGGGAGATAAATAGCTATCACTAGAACTAAAATTGAGTAAGTTTTGGAGAGCTAGAATCACTGATGAGTAGAAGCTTATGCTCCTCTGTCAAACTACAGCATGTAAATACTATCTCATTAGATTGGGTGGGTCATTCAGGCCTTCCCAAATTCACATCCAAACGGGTCATAAGTCGCTTTGAATTGGATATTAACTTCTGATTAGATTGGATTATGGTGTCACATTGTAAACACGAAAATTCTTGGTTCCAAAGATATAAAAGAATACAAATTAACTATTTTGTACACGTATTCTTTTATCATCGGAATACCTTCCTGTGGGGTGCAGATGTTAAGAACTATGTGACTTCAATTGATATTGAAGCCAGGAGCTTCTTAGTCTTATTTCCACTCTATGTTCTGTGATGTAAACTGCGTTACTTTTATGTTGGTTTTATTTTTGTGTTTTCTGCTTCTGCTCAGCTGCATTGGAGAAACGTTTTATGTCCGAGTTGATCTTGCAGCACACTCAGTACTACGTATGATATATACAATTAGTGTTTGTTTATCCTATCCACTTTTTTTTTCTTAATGTGTTTGGTTTACGTGATTTGTTGTTTTAAGTTGTATCCTTTATGTTTCGTGTATGGGGTGCATAGATATTGCAGAGGATTTGATTTATTGTTTTCTTCCTGATGCTGTTTAGATTTGGGGCTTCTCACAGTTTAATCCTACCCTCTTTCACCTCTTGCACTTTTAGTTTTCCGTCTCTCTAGCTCTTACACTACTTGCTTTGAGCGTTGATGACCAAGAGAATATAAGAGACGTGAGATAAGGCATGTAGTCATCGATTCATTCTGCTTTGATTGTGCATTGATTCTCTCCTTCTAGAGTGAGAAAGTGCTCTGAACGAATTGAGAGAAACATTCTTCTCCGAAACCTTACAATATGAAAAGTACGAGAGATTGAATCATTCTTAGCGCTCTATTTTCCTTAATGAATTTCAATCTCCGAAAGCCTCACTGAATTATTGCGTGTTTTTTACTCATATACGCATATAGGAACTCCACTTTATCATCTTTGTTGCATAACCAGATAGTGAATAGGTTCATCATTTCTTAGCGGCAATTCATTCAAGCTTTCTTGATAACTTGAGTGAATTGAAGTGCAACGCGATGCCTCCACAAAAGGGCATTGTCGGTAAGGAATAAAATTGCGGTAGAGATTTTGGAATCGTCTTCCATCTTCAAGTACTTGAAATGCCTCTTCATGTTCCACATGTAGGTATCAAGCTCCTTCGCCTCCCTCTCCCATTTGATTCGGGTCGGATATGTTGCATAACACTTGCTTGCAAATGTCTTCTTGTTTAATGCCAAATCTCCCTTCATATCCTTCACTTCGTCTTAGATGTTGGAAGATCCGCACTGAATCGATCAAACTGCTTTTGGAACTCTTTTCGGAAGGTGTCCACTGCAGAGTTGAGTGTCCCCAAGAAGTCGTCTTGAAGCTTGTCCATCGCGCTGTCAAGATCCTCCTTCAAAACATCCTCATCGAGCCTAGTATCGAATTCAATCTAAGAAGCGTAAAAAAAAATTATCATCCCAAAAAACAAATCGGAGGGTGTTCTCAATCTAGTTATTGTTTTAATAAATTTTTATTGCACTGCCAAGATCCCTAGATGTACATTAATTTGAAAAGCAGAACCTTGACAAGTCTACAAAGTTTGAAAACAAGAAGCACAACGTCACCGATGAAGGAGAATCATGCCATATAAAAGGCCATCCACAACAACATTTTCTTCACGCTAGATGTGAGAGGAGTAGAAAGTCATATTCCGAATGTGGTCCAAACAAATAATGCATTGCTTGGGAAGAGACCAAATCATTTGAATAGAGAGCGTGAAAAGCGGGAATTTCTCATAAATAACCAATATTTACTCTCTAATTTCATAAATGTTAGTTTTAATAAAAACTATCAATTATAGCAAAAAAATACGCTTAAATAGATCAAACTACCCTAAAAATTAAAATCAAATTACACTACACTTAAAATCGTTGGAGTTCCTTTTATTCAAACTCACAACAAGAATACGTACTTGTCACCGGACCACCCACCGCCGCAATCCTCTCCCCTTCTGGCCTCTGCTTATCCTTCTCCTTCATATTGTTTTGAAATGTTCAATTAAAATAATAATTATTTTTCCAATCATCAGGAACTCTACCTTTTGTCAAAAGCCCATCACAATTGCATGTAAACAAACAAATTTCAATTTTTATTGCAAAACCAAAATGATAAAAAAAAAAAAAAAAAAAAAAAAAAAGAGCATTCTGATTGATTGGGAGGTGGGGATGAGATCATGAGGTGACAATACCAAGTTTTCTTGGAAATGAATTCAAGTTCATTCATAAACAGGTGGAATTCTCATAATTTTATCTAACAGTGTTTGGATTTAGGGTTAGGTTTGTTATTAACTTCGAGGGTATTAAGGTCTATTTCAGTGAGATTTTGAATATATTTGATATTTTTTTATTAAAACTGACATTTATGAAATTAGAGTGTAAATTTTAGCTATAAATGATAAACTCCCGTAAAAAGCACCAGAACAGTCACTATCTATGTTTACAAAGGTTACATTAGATTTGAACTTCTGATTGTGAAGCACACTACAATTGAATATTGTTACCTTACGACCCTTGGATCCCATCCAACGGTTGTGAATAAATAGTAACGAGGGTATTGTTATTTGTGTTTCTCCTCCGCCGCATATATTATATGTGCCCTAGGGATCTTGGAACTCGAACTTTGAATATCCTCTCCAAAACTTTTCTATCGCGCGGCAGTTGGAACTTGGAACTCGAACTTTGACGCTCCAGAGCCCTCAGGTGGGGGTGCTTTCCTTTTCCTCAAATTTCAGGGGTTTCCTTGTTTAGCTTTGGTTGTTTACGTTTTCTTCTTCACAGGGGAAGAATTTATTATAATATATGACTTACATTCCAGGTGTGTTGAATTTTGCTAGTTCATGAGGAAATTTTTCAATGTGGCCGTCATACGGGTGATACACCACGTGTCATTACATAAATAGTGTCATATGTGTGTCAAAAAGTTAATAACACTACTTACATAAAAACACATAAATATGTAGTGAACTACCCGTGTTCCCGTCACAATTAAAACTTTTGCATGTCCATGCATTATGTCATAATAATATTGAAGGTAGTTTTGTGAATTTAGACTTGAATGCTTGAAACAGACGAATATAATTTTGTTGGAAAGTTCTTTCCAAAAGTGAAACCAAAGTTCTTTTTCAACTTACAAATTGCCCGAAAACCGTGATGGCTCTGTTTCATATGATTGCACAGCTGTGTCTAGATTGGTTTCCTTAACTTTTTTATCTACTGATCTGCTTGATCAGGATGAATGACGAAGGCTGCACTTTTTCCGAGTACCTTCCTGAAGAGATCTTGGTCAACATTCTAGTAAGATTACCAGTAAAATCCCTTGTTCGGTTTACGTGTGTATGCAAGTTCTGGAGTGATTTGATTCAAAGTTCGAGGTTTATTGGAAAACATCTTCATAGGAATGTAACAAACCATGCGCATTCTTTTGTAATTGCTCTCTACGAAAGTACGAGCAAACCCAAGATAAGCTACACTCTTTTATCTAATGAGACGATGGAGCCGTGCTTGAAGATTAAGCATCCCTTGTCTGGGTACAAAATTGACGTACATGGTTCAGTTGATGGCTTAGTTTGCCTGTCATATGAACTAGGGGATTTGGATACTTCTATATACCTATGCAACCTGTCAATTCGGAAACATGTGGTCCTTCCTCCGACCAGTACTCTGAGCAGGCACTCTGATGTATGTTTCACTGTTTCATTTGGGTTCCACCCAGGGCTCAACGACTACAAGGTGGTAAGGATGGTCTCTTTTAATGGAGGGAAGCTTTGCAGTGAACTGGAGGTTTATAGCTTGAGCACAAAATCTTGGAAGAGGATTGATAATCCATTGGTAAAGACCATGGCTTGGCAGTCTGGAAATGCAGTGTGTAATGGAGTAGCATACTGGATTATGCAAAAGCAGAATGGTACCTTTTGTTTTGTGTCTTTTGATACCGGGAGTGAGGTATTTGAAGAATTCTGGCTACCAGATGTAGTTCTCCGTGGAATAAATTCCGGGCTTGATAATTACAAGGAATTAATTGCAGAGTACAAAGGATCAGTTTGCTTGTTGCAGTCCAATATAACTAGGGGACCGGACCTCATCGGCATATGGGCTCTCAAAGAAAAGGCTTTTAAGGCACTGGATGTTGTTCTTATTCCTCAACGGAAGAGTATTTACCCACTGAGCTTTAGAATGAATAACAAACTCCTTGTGGGGTGGCCTTGTGCAGATGGTAAGAACTATATGACTTCAGTTGATCTTGAAGCCAGGATGGTTACTGAAACTAGAGTTACGCTGGCATTAGATCGCTTAAATGAGTTTCATGCTTATACTTACGTGGAGAGTCTAGTCTTACTCAAGGATTAGCAAGGAACTTCTTAGAATATTATGTTTAACTGATTTCCACCCAATGTTCTGTACTGTAATGTTGGTTTTCAGTTTTTTAGTTTTTGGTTTTGCTTCTACTTAGATGTGTTGGAGAAACTTATGTCCGGGTTGATCTCGTGACAAACTCAGTACTCTTTATGATATGATAAATGTGTGTTTCTTTATCCAATACACTTTCTTTTGCTTAATGTGTTTTCTTTACACGATTTGTTGCTTTAAAGTTGCATCATTTTTGTTATTCAGTGTATGGAGTGCAGAGATGTTGCAGAGGATTGATTTATTTTTTTTCTCCCTGATGGTGTTTTATAGAATTTGGGGATTCTCGCAATTTGATGTATAACTGTACTATTTGATAGAGACATGCTAATGAGCTCTCTTAAAGTGGGACTCTTACCTCTTAGTTTAACGTTAGTTCCCGTGTCAATTTTAAAAAATATTGTGCCAAAAACACAAGATGACAGAGAGTCTTACTTTTGAGAGTCTTATGGAGGGTTCCACTTTTGAGAGTTTCTTAGCATTTCTCTTGTTTGATAACTTTAATAAGTTAGCCTTCACCCTTGGCGAAAGACTTCCACAGAATAGGTACACCGCCATTGTGGTGTCTTGCGCCAATAGTACAAAAAATTTGGTTCTCAAGTCATAAATTCTGTTTTATTGCTTGTTTAGTTCGATTAAGTCCTAAATTCTGCCCCCTTTATTTGAAAAAAATGGTTATCTTTAAGCCAATGATTTCCATACTATTTTCCATTGAAGGTTGTTCATTCGTAGAATTGCCAATGAATCAGTTTGCCTGCTTCAAGTCTATTTAGAAGGTGGTGGTAAGAATAAACATGCTGACTTGTGGGTTCTACAAGAACATTATTATTTGAAAACTTTGGTAGTTTTCTTTTTCGACACGAGCAATATCGGAGGAGGGAGGAGTTGAACTCATGAAATGACATGACATGGGTTGCAGGGAGTTACACGGCCCTTGCTGGTTACTGAATTTATTACTTTGAAGAAAACTTAATCGTCTTTGTTGGTTTTGCTACACCGGAAACAAGTGAGATTATTTACATATAAATTTATTTGAAATGGATGAGTCTGGTAACGGGATAGACAACATAGAAGCTGTTTCAAAATGCCATGGTTCAATTAAATCAAAATTTCAGCCCCCATTATCTCGAAGAGAAACGAATTTAGGGGTGAGCACCAAACCCTGGTCTTGAGTGAAATCGAAACCGAAACTGAAAGCTTTTGCCGTTCGGCTGGGTACGGTTTTGAAGCTAAAATCAAAATAGAACCAAACCAATTGGTTTTGTTCAGTTTAGTTTCAAATGGTTTTGGCTCAGTTTCAAACCATTTGAAAACAAAATGAAAAGCTTCATGAATTGCATATTTGCAGCTGTGAGCTACGATTCAAGAATCAGAATGATCCGAATTTTAGACTTCAGTTTTTATGCTTTCAAATGTTCTGAATTTCTTTTTATATTTTGTCAGCATCTCCAAGATCGGCTCATCAACAGCAAACTACCAAACTACCAAACTAATCAGATCTCAGAAGATTAGTTCATTAGTTTCACGAAACAACAATCTCACCAGTAAAAATTTCAAAGCACAACTTTCATTGGAAGTAAAAAATCCGAAAGGGAATGAATGTTTGCAAATGAATATAATTACTAAAGACAATGAGAATTTTTTTTTACATCAGCACACAAGCAGTGATTATTGTTCAACATATCACCAAAGCACTAGACATTCTAATTGCATCCCTGTTTTCTCAGCTTCATGCTTTGCTGTCAAAAGAGCAACAGGCAATTCGGACGAGTGGGTAAAGCATGACCGATGCAAGAGTACTTAAAGAAACAGTCACGTAAGGCTGCCGTGAAGGCTTTGAGGGCAGTCTTGTCGTCTGCCTCAGCACAACAGGAATACTCATGGCTGAAGCGGCCAGCATACATACGTAATGACTCGTCTAGCTTATGGCGAATAGTGTACAAGTCATCCGCAGAATGCAAGTGATCGGTCTGGAAAATGTGTTGAGAAACAAACAGTTTCCTCAATTCCTCAAATGAGTCTACCGTCTCAGGTGGAAGACGGCAATACCATTTTAGAGTTTCACTAGAGAGGGTAGAGGGGAAGAGAAGACATTGCTCTTCGTCGGTGTGTATCCGGTATGCCATGGTGGACTCAAAAAGGTTAAAGTGTTCAATCGAGTCCTCCTTTCCAGTATAGAGTTGCTAGCCAAGCTTCTGCTTTGTCTTTGTTTGGAGGGGGGTGTCGAGGATCCTCCTTGTAAGAGGGCCAGGCCTAGGTTGGTTCCAATCAGGTATCTCAGCTTGTCGTTCGGCCTTCAACTTGTTTACTTCCTTAAGAAGCTGTAAGACAAGAAGGTCCTGAGTGGAGTCATATACCACTGAAGCTTTCTTTCGTAAATCTCCATCTCCTCTTGGAAATATGAAGGTTTGATCAAGAGCATGTGATTTTTCCCTGGACTCGCCGTACTGACTTCCAAGGTATGTTTATCGGAACATCTCTGAGTCCCCTATACCTTCGTGTTTCTCTAGGACTTGTTGCCCTTTCCCCAAATTGGTAGCCGGTTTGGGATATGGTAGGGGACCGACCGAGTCTTTCAGAGACCCTTGGGTCATTGATCTTTGAGCTTACATGGATGGGATTGTCTTGACGTTGCTTTAGGAAATCTCGACAGTCGCGAAAGACGGCTTTCGATCTTTCCACTCCTTCTGTAAGGAGGTGTCTTCATCCATTTCTCTTGCTTCGGGTCGAAGCAGCTGGGTTGAGAGAAGTCTCATGTTGATTAATGTTCTGATGATTAGCTCACTCCTCGTCAGGGATATCCATGTCGAAGGAATGTGACCTTCCGTGTTGGGGGGCACCCAGATGATGGTTGATGTCCACAGGGGTAAAGAGCTCGCATGTTTGAGTATGCCTAGTTTCGTGGAACGTCTCAAAGAGTTTCTCATACTGCTCCTAGAGGACCTCATTCTTCATTGCTATCTTGTTGTTCTGAGCTTCTAGCTCATCGACTTTAGCTTGAAGAGCAACCCTCTTTCCTTCAGTCTTTCGTTGCCTCGCACTAAGTGCAAGAAGGGTGTCATTCTGCGTGCTGTGGCTTCCTTCGCTCCCCATGTTGGAGAGGGATGAGGGATGCCTGGTCAAAAGAGAGTGTACGAATGGTAGAAACCACCTTAACAAAGCTGAAAAGAGTGGGAATAAGTGTTGTTCCCACAGACGGCGCCAAATGTTGATGCACAAAATTAGTGGGGACTTTGGTACAACAGAAAATATTAAGTTTGTGACCTTCGCTAGATTGTTTCGGTCACTAGTGTGGATAAGTATGTAAATGGATAGAGACAGGGAAGCAAACACAAGATGTACATGGTTCACCCAGATTGGCTACGTCCACGGAGTTGAGGAGTTCTCCTTAATTGTGAAGGGTTTACACAAGTACATAGGTTTAAGCTTTCCTTTAGTGAGTACAAGTGAATGTTTTAGTACAAATGACATTAGGAAATATTATGAGAGAATGATCTCTATTTATAGAAGAGAGTTTCTAGTTTCATTTTGACATTGACACGTGTCGTGTTGTGATTGGCTTCTGATGTTGACACGTGTCGCGCTATGATTGGCTTTTGATGTCGACACGTGTTGCGCTGTGATTGGCCTCTTGGTTGGAGGGAAACTCTTCTGGGTCCTTGACGGTATAACATTGACTAGTGCTCAGTAGTTTCGGGATTGGTCAAGTATGGTACAAACAACCACACAAATCTTTCTTCTTCTATACACCTTTCTCTATTAATGTCATTAGATTCAATAAATCTATTGGAAACAAAGAATATCATTAAACATAGATTTGCAAGGGAAGAAAGCATATGAGAATCATATTAAAACAATAGTGGTGAAGAAATCCGAAAACTAGTTGGAATATCATTATGAATTAAAAGATGGGGAAACTTGATATAAGTTCAATTTTTTGAGTCAATAGTAGGAATAATCCAATTTATTAAAATAAGTCCAATTCCTTAAATTTAATTATTTTATTATCAATAATTATCTCTTCAATGAAAAAATTTATTGTAAAAATCAAATTTCTTCCTAATTATCTCTTTGATTATTTCTTTTTATTTTTTATTTATTTTTTGTTATTTCTTGTTCTTCCTCTTGCTTTATCCTATTTATAGATTTTATATTAATTTTTATAATCAACCTATATTACAGGTTAATTGTATTTATCTACCTATATGACAGATTTTTTTTCATAGTCAACATGTCACAGATTAATGTGTCTTGCTTGTAGGTATATTATGTTTTTTCTACCTTTTAGTTAGGTTTCATATCTCACTTATAGGTATAATATACATTCATAAATTTGCTACTTGAGTTAGGGTAGAATGTTTTGCAGATAGATTTATGTTAGTATATTAGTATTTTTGTTATAAGATATTAATTAGATATTTTGGAGTTGGAAAATGCATAATATTATAAGATTTTAATTGATTATTAATATTTTTAGAAAACATTAAATGAGTATAAAAGAAATAAATACATATAATTAGATAACTGGATTCTTTCCTAAATACACTCTGTGATTTTGGACCTGGATCTAAAAGCCCCATTAAAAGATTGACTATCACCTACCGTTTGGACTCCATTTTCTACGCACTCAGCCCAATACTCTAAGTTGTTGGATGCGTTGAGGATTAGGGTTGGTTTCCGGATAAAGGTTGAATCAATTGCATAATCATAATTAATCTAGGTTTAGAGTCCTAGTTGAAGACAACGAGACTTGGCGGCGATAGAGTTCCAACTAAGAAAAATTATGTGTACATTCATACAAGATGTCGAAGAATTGGAATATTATTAGAATTATGTCATTTGGTAGACTTAGTCATCACGGAATTCGTCTCTATGAATACAAGAGAATTTACAACGTAGAGAGTGCCTAACGGAACTTGCTTTGTCCACCTAACGGAACCTGCCTTATCTGCCTAACGGAGTTTATCTTGTCTTGTCCGCCTAATAGAGTTTGTCTTGTCGTGTCCACCTAAGGAAGGTTGCATTTGCATTTGTTTGTTGGCAACCTCACGTCTTGTACCGGGTGCCCACGAGGGGTTGGAAAATAATAGGGCCCAACCTGTTAGTATTAGGTT